GTTTCTCTTGTTCCTAATGATACTAAGTCATATTGCCATCTGACGACAACTTTTATGTAGAAAATTGTTTTGCTTATAATTGCTTCAGGTTATGTTTGCACCTAAGATTTACTGATTTTACCACCAACAGTAAGAGAAGATGAGCCCAGATTCTTTCTAAACATAAAACATCTAGTTAACTTACTGGGCAGGGGAGATATTGGACTTTGAGCTTGAATCTAAAACAAATTGCACATTTATTTCTACTTATTTTTAAGAAAGATTTGAATGTGTTTCTTAGATTCCAATGTGCCACTTGACAAATTTCTTTTGAAACTGAGGAAGTTTTTTTTAAACAGATGGCATGGAAAATTTCTTTTCGGAGGAAAAAAATGAATTCTCAAATTTTGCATTTTATTATTAATAAGAACGTTAAAGAAATGTAGCCCAGGGTGAGAGATGAGATCAAAATGATCTAATGATCCTTGTGATTCATTAGTATCAGAACCAGTGTCGTGTAGTTTTGCTTTTCTCTCTTTTGATTTCATTAGCTTCTTTCTGATTATTTATACTTTCTGGTTTTCAAATGTAGTACTGTTCTAAAATAAGCAGTCACTATCTGGTATTTACATTTATCCATCAACGCTACAGGTGCCTATTTTAATATTACCTCTCTCTTCAACTGTTTAATAGGTTCAGATACTGGGATTTTATCAAACACTCCTAATAGTTTTCTGCAGCCAGGAATGTTTTCTACTCCAGCTCCTACTTCTCTTTGTAACGTAGTCATACCTCCACCTCCACCGCTGCCACCTTCGTTTGTATTAAAATCTGATTTTGATTCCCATAATTCGGCAGTTCAGCTTATTAAACAACGTCGGGCTACAAAGACTGAAAAGATTAAAGACAATGCTGAACATCAGACGGTTAAAGTTATTCCCGATATGATGGATGTTCTCAAGGATATAAATAATGTTAAACTCAGAGCTATTGAGAAGTAAGTTGAACAAAATGTAAGTTCTTTTTTTAAAAAAAGTGCTGTTACAAACTTATGAAACTATGTGGCTTGGTTCTTAGTTATCTTCCATGAGAAGCAGCCCAAATAACAACAACAACAACAACAACAACAACAACAACAATAATAATAATAATAATAATAATAATAATAATAATAATAATAATAATAATAATAATGATGATGTTGGAAGGGACCTTGGAGGTCATCGAGTCCAACCCCCTGCTCAGGCAGGAACCCTACACCATTTCAGACAAATGGCTGTCCAGTCTCTTCTTAAAAACTTCCAGTGTTGGAGCATTCACCACTTCTGGAGGCAGGTTGTTCCACTGGTTAATTGTTCTAACTGTCAGGAAGTTTCTCCTTAGTTCTAACCAAGACAAAAACAGCGCTTCACTTTAAAGGGGTGAAGGAGCCTGAAACTCAGTGTCACCACTGCCTTTTCAGTGGCTGTCCTGGTCCCTAGAATGGCAATTGGTTCTCACCCTGACTGCCTCCCCAGGGTGTTTAGGGCACAGTCCTGCCTTGGTTTCATTAACAGCTTGGTTTGGTTAATTTGATTCTGTTCTATGTTTTCATTAGTTTGTGGGCCTTTCATTTTTATGCCTTTGATTTTTGTAATTTGTTCTTGCCTATTGTCCTTGTACATTGACAAGAGTCCTTACTTAGGGATTTAGTAGTTTATAAAAGTAATAAATAAATTTCAGCCTTGCAAAGAATATTCCTTTCTGGCATAGGTTTACTTGGAAGAGCTAGGACTTTAGTTCTTGCTTTTAAACTGTACAGTTAGCCCTCAGTTTTATGACCGGCTGCTTAATGGTTGTTTGAAGTTACTACAAACTTGAAAAAAATTACTTCAAATCTGGCCTTGAAGTTACAACTGCTGCACCGTCCTTGAGGTCATGTGATTGGGCATTTGGCAACCAGCTTACATTTATGACTGGTAGCAGTGTCTTGCAGTCACACGATCGCTTTTTGTAACTTCCTTTGCCATTTTCTAGCCTAAATCACCTATTGGATAAGCTAGTTTTGGATACACAGCCACATGATTCATTGAACAAACAAGTGATTCCCTTAACAACCATTGTAAAATCAACTCCAGTCACATAGTAACTCACGACTGCAATGAATCATTTACAAAATTCTGGGGTCAGCTGTGGGTTGTAAGACTAGGAGTACCTGTAGAGTAAAAAAAAAATGGCAGAGTACAGTCGAAACATCAGAATGCTCACTGCTGTATAGCTGCCTGCAAAACAACATGTGCAATATTGCTACAGTTCATAGGGCAATCAAAGGTGCTCTAGAAAGGAGGATAGTGAAATAAATTAGAACAAAAGCAGATTAGAAAATATAACACATGTTTTGATTTTTTCAATAGCAACGTCTTGCGTTAGAAATTGCAAATGTTCTGCTTTCCTTTCTCCAGATCTCCTGGAGGTACACCTCTACCCAAAAGAAATAAAATAAAGCAATCTCAGTGGGATCCAGCAGCTTTAATAGCAGAAGCTCTTAAAGAGAAATTTGCATCACAAAGCAGTCGCGATGATTCATTTGACAAAGAGAACAGTCCTTATGGTGCTTCACCATTTTCTAGTCCAGATACTCCAATGGTATAGATATGATTCTTTTCTTAAAGTAGTTTTTTTTTTCATTTGAATAAGATTTATAATCATACAGAGGAAAAAATATTCTGGGGATGAAAAAAAAATCAAGATAAATATTATATAGATAATCCAGAGACAGAAGAACTTAATGATCACAGCTGGAACTGTATTCTTATTGTATCCCATGAAACATTGAATATATGGGAGGGTTCACGGCTCTTGAGTGATTTGGAATGGTAGTTCAGAGTCTAGAATTATTGTAAGTATTGTAATACTTTCTCACAATGCTCTGAATAGGAGACTTGTATTTTCCCCTGTCTCTAGTCTTTTCTGTGATGCTTGATGATGGATGCTTTTTATATGTTCGTTAAAGTTTAATACAGGTAGTCCTCATTTAGAGACCACAGTTGGGACTGCCAATTTTTTCGCTAAGCGAAGTGGTTACTATGTGGAAAATCACCTAACTTCAACTGTGCTTTTCAGCTCAAAATAACAATACTGTTCTGTTTCACATCTTCAGCTTTTATTTGCTCCTAACCACTCCCCTGGTCTTTGGAATGCTCACCCTGGCACTGAGATCATTAGGAAGAAGGGAATTAATGTTTGTATTTGTATTTATACATATTTATATTTATTGCAGAAGAAGGGATTATGAGAGAGTAAGCAGGCACACAATGGAAAATACATACTGAAAGCAATGCACTTGTGCTGGCAGCTGCAAGGGTGCTGTGCAAACAGCTTGGTGTATTTCCAATTGTGTGGCTTTTTATCCTGTCCTCTCCATGTTTTCTGCTCTGTTGGGGTAAGTGGATGGGTCAGCCACAGGAGAGATTGCCTATAGAAATCACTTGCTTTCCTTCCACACCTTGCAGAGTGGAGAGATTGGAAAGGAAGAGATTATAAGAGAATAAAACACACAAAGCGGAATACACTGAGGTATTTAGTGGCTGCCAGCATCAGCACCTGGCTTTCAGTGTATATTCCTCATTGTGTACCTGCTTAGTCTCTTGTAATCTCTTCTCTCCAATCTCTGTTCTGCAAGAGGTGGAAGGGGGAAAAATAAAGGTCAGGCGTAGACACCAGTGCTGACTAATAGCAATCACGTGATTGAGTGACAGCACCATAGTTGCTGAATGAGACAGTAAGTGAGGACTACCTGTATACATATTAGAAATGCCTTTCTAAAAGGCTTTTTATCACAGGTTGTTTAATATAGACAACTGTTCCTGTGATAAGTTGCATCAACTCAATTTATGACTGACTTTGGTGGATAAACGACAGCTAGAATGAGAAGGCATTTGGTCAATATAGGATTTGAGAGCAATATAGCATTGATTCTATTCCTATTTGTCTGAGCACTTTTAGAAGATGGCACTGCTGAGTCCATTTCTTTGTTGATAATTGTGGTTAGCACGTAGTTCCTCAGAGCTTCCTTTTGTCCTTTTGGCATTCAAAGGCCCCTGATTTTCAGATTATATACAGTTCTAGGGTTAGACACCATCACAATGCTTGTGATATATCACTCATTATATGAAAGCTGTGATGAATTGAAGTAAGGTAATAAGCTGAGATTCAGTCAGGCCAATTGAAAGTGTTCCTCAGAAGACAGACTAATAGGCCAGAGATATTGCCTGTTCTGACAGGAACTGAACTCTTCTGAAAAAAATGGTTTTACAACTTCTGCATCAATTGTTCTTTTTTAGGCTATAGATTTGATGCTCTATTAAGTGAACCTTTGCTTTCTTTTAGTTGGTACCCATGTAGCACTGTTCCTAGACTCAGGGAAATCTTTCTACTATGATCCTTGTCTTAATCCTCTCCCATTTAAACTATTGTTGTAGATGCTGCATGATTCTGCTAATGAAGCTGTAAATAATATAAGATAACAGCTCAGTCGCTGACAATATTACATAAATCACACACCAATTCCATTGGCTTCCATTTTGTTTCAATACATGCTGAAGATGCTAGTACAGGTTTTTCTTTGACTTTAATTATATTGTCCACTTTTAAAAATGAATTATTTATTCTTTAGATTTATTATATTGTATATATTTTAATTTGTATGTCACCTTGAATCAAAAAGCAATACAATTAGAAATAAAATGTTTTTGATTACAGGTTGACTATCGCATTTTGAAACCAAGCACGAAGCAGAGACTTAACAAAACTGAGGAACTAATAAATTCATCATCTTCAAAATCAAAACTTCATATGTAGCCATGATGTTGATCTTGTGGGACCAGCTATCACTATTAAGGACTCTTTTCTTTGATTGCATTGTACAAAGACTTATAAATCTAATTGTTCTGAATTGTGCTAACAGTGTTTACATGAATTTTTTTATTGCATTTTTTATCAGCTATAAATCTACAGTTTTTTTGTATCAGTTTTATGATATTGGTTGCAAAGTATTAAGGCCGGTGAGTAAATGTGTAAAAAGATAGTAATATAGAAACAAAATATAGAGGGGAAAGTTACATTTTAACCTAGTTTAAACAAAAAATACTATATTGTTAAAAATGACACCTTCCTAAAAAAATGATGTTACTTCCTTGATATATGGAAAGAGTCATTTTAAGTTTCTCTAACTGATGCTGAGAAGGAAGGACTCACTGGAGAAGAGCCTAATGCTGGGAAAGATTGAGGGCAATAGAAGAAGGGGATGACAGAGAATGAGGTGGCTGGATGGAGTCACTGAAGCAGTAGGCGTGAGCTTAAATGGACTCCAGAAAATGGCAGAGGACAGGAAGGCCTGGAGGAATGCTGTCCATGGGGTCGCGATGGGTTGGACACGACTTCGCAACTAACAATAACAACAACAATGGTGCTTATAGCATTTGCTTCCTCTTGTGTACTTTCTGCTGTTGTGAATATAGTGGACGATTATAAAGAAACAATGGGATCTATATTGATATTTGACATTTATGATACAAATGTTATTAATGTGACTTCTTAGTATCTCTGTAAATTTATCTTCTAAAATAGCTTTTTTAATGTATGTGCAGATTGTTATACTTTTTCATAGCTTAAATGTATCAAGTTTTACAGTTCTTGTGTGTTTGTCAATGTTTATGGAGGGCCATAAGCTCTCATTAATAATAAGCCCCTTGTCTTGTAATGTCCAGATGCTAAACATGGAGTCTTCTAAAATTAGTTCACACATCTCCACAAATAGCTAAATCAGCTTTGTCTGATCTGGTTCCAGAAGCAGTAGGCAGCAGTCGCTGTGAATCCCAAGAACTAAATGTTGCCTATTGTAAATGTATGTGTATCATTTCTGCTGGTATGTTCCTCATTTTTATAGTTATTTGCAACTTTCTTCTGTATACAATATGACATTGTATTGTTCCCGGCAGTGATCCTTTTAACTGGAAAACTTTGATAACAAGAATAAATCTAGCCTAAGATAATTGGTTTCCTTATCAAATGTGTAGGTACTTCTTTCTGGGAGTATATTGACTCATACTTCGCTGTTGTATGTTGTTACAGGCTTCTTTCTTGGGTGGGAAATATTTCTGCATTGATATTTGCAGAGATGTACAATGAAAGTTTAGCAATTATTTGTAATTTGCATTGGGATGTTTCAACATTGATGTCAGGTTATTACTAAATAATGTGCTACAATTTAATCACCACTAAACTAATACATTTAGGTGCCTTCCTTAGTAGTTCAGTCTTTAATTTAATTTAAAGTGGCTTGCATGTAGCTTTTTTATTAAAAAAAAAAAAGGGCTGTGCCAAATGGTTACCCTTACTAGAAGAAAACATCTGAAACAGTATATGATTTAGAAATTTATTTTGCTTAGTAGGCTAGTTTCTTATTTTTCAGAGTGATAACATCATATATATCAAATCTTCAGAACATTTTCTTCTACCTGTAGAAAAACGTGAATGTTCTTTTTTTCAGGAAGAGACTATCTCTAATTATCATTATTATTATTTTTAAAAAAGAACAGAATAATTATTGGATAAGTTGAACATGTTCTTATTTCTGCATGGTTGCATGTGTTGTGTCACTGATTTTTTTTCCTCACTGCATAATGATTTTCAGACGATGACATTCCAAGTTGCATATTGTAGTTTTGCATTACATTCATTGTGGTTCAAATTTTAATAACAACACAACAGAAAATGTCTGCTGTGATCTAGCACTCAGAATTTAATTTTGTTTTGTTGGATTCTGGCTTTGATGGTTTTTGTGAATAACATTTTGTATGCTTTTGGCTTAAACTTATTATGCACAATGAACAGGATTCAGGATATATTTGCATCACTTACCTGAAGTATTTATTTCCATTGACACCTTTTAGAGCAAGTAGCACATTTCAAGAAATATGCTAGCTCATGCAAATAACCACAAGAGGGCAGTAAGACACTGTCTGCAAACAATTGTGTCCTTTGATGAGACCCTTTCTCAAAGCTGTTTATTCCCAGCCTAGGCCTACAGAGGTGTGCAGGTAATTTGCTAATATATATATAGTTAGTATTTAAAAGTTGTGGTGGATTTTTCTGCCTTGCTATTAGTCCCTCATTTCGTTTCCTCCCCCAAGTCCTGATTGATGCAATTGCTCAGTCTAGATATCCATAAGTAGCTGCTGGTGCAATTTGCTTTGGGTCATAACAAACTTACTATTTGTTCCTAACTGTATTGATTTCTGCCTGAATTCTTTGCTCAGGATGCTTCCTGTCCTATCTCTATCCACTTTACTATTTTGCGTATTGATACAAATATCTGTGGAATGAAATCTGGGCCATCCTGGTGCATAATTAGCCTATGCTTACAGCTTCCAGGTGTGCTATATGGGAAAAATATAGTTTGTACACATTAGTCCATAGGACCAAAGTAGAGTAGAGTAGAATAAGAATAGAGTAGAATAAGGATAGGATAG